TTATCAGGCTTCCTTGGATAAAATAATCCTAAGTCTTTTGTTTCACTTAGGTAATGAAAGACATGTTTGATCCCATGCCAATGTCGGCGAGTTGGTGCAAAGCTAAATCTTGCCAATAGATTCATTGCAAATGCTATGTCTGATCTCGTACATTGTGCCAAACATAATAATGCACCTATTGCATTTAGATACAGTACTTCAAGACCAAGTATCTTTTTGTCGTATTCTTTAGGACGAAATGGATCCCTTTTAGGATCAAGAGACCAAACTACCATTGGGGTACTTAAGGAATGAAATTTATCCATATTAAATGGCTAAAGGATTTTTGCAGTATAATTTGATTGACGGAGCAAAATTCCATTTGAACAATGCTCGATCTGCAGACCGAGACAATGCTTTGTTTTCCCTAGATCCTTCATTTCAAATTCTCTTTTTAAGTACTCAGCAGCTTTTGTGACCTCTTCAAGAATCTCCATTAAGTTGATGTCATCGACATATACTGCCACAATTGCAAATCGTGATTCTGACCTCTTTATAAAGACACACGGGCATACAGGATCATTGATGTATCCTTCATTTAGCAGATACTCATTAAGACGATTACGCCATATTCGTCCTGATTGTTTCAATCCATATAACAATCTTTGCAATTTTATTGAATACATGTTCCTTTTATTTACTTATGGCACCTTTAATCATTCAGGGATTTTCATATAGATATCAGTATCCAGTGTACCATACAAATACACAGTGACAACGTCCATGAGGCACATATCAAATCCTTCTAAAACTAATATACTAATCAAGTACCGAAATGTGATAGCATCCATCACTAGTGAATACGTCTCTTCAAAGTCAATTCCGAGTCTCTGTAGGAAACCTTAAGCCACGAGTTTGGTCTTATACCTAGCAACCTCATTTTTCTCATTTCGTTTCCTTGTGAATACCCACTTATACCCTATGAATTTCATGTTTTCAAGTGTTTGGACTATAGGTCCAAACACATTACGCTTAGCTAGGAAGGTTAATTCTGCTTGAATTGCCTCTTCCCATTTGGCCAATCATGTCTCTTTTAACATTCATCAACAGAACGTGGCTTAAACTCTTCATTCATAATTTCAGTAGCTACTGCGTATGAAAATATGTTATCGACAATAGTTGTTTCACGATTCCGCATTTCTTTACTATGAGCATAGTTTATAGAAATTTCTTCATTTCTATGTTCTTGCATTCCTTCGGGGATTTGTTCCTCTTTAGGGGTTTGTGTCCGTTCAGGGATTGTTAACTCTTCTAGAGTTGGTTTAGAAGGTGTGGAATCGTCAATTGTTCCATTATTGTCAATATTGGCACCCATTTGATTTTGTGCCTTTTGTTTACTAGGAACAGTATCCTTGACTCCAATCAGACTACCACACTTCTGGCATGTAATAGATGAATTGATCGCTGCTCGTATGGATTGTTTATTGGTAACATCAATCCTTGCTGGTGTATTGACAACACGAATGTATGATCTCGTTATTTTTGCTATATCTGTAATTGCATCAGTCATTTGGTTGACAATATTTTGCAAATGTGTTATTCTTTGCACTTCAATTTCAGATTGAGATGTGCGAGGATCTATATGAGATATAAAATTCACTTTTCAGGAAAGTTCAAGCCTTACTTTAGGAGGCTTTATCTTTTTCCCTAAAGATGGGAATGTCATCTCATCAAAATGGTAATTTGCAAAACGTGTGGTAAGCAGATTGCCTATCATAGCCAACATATATTCTCAAACGATTTTGGGGTCCCAATTTGGTGTGTTGAGGGGGTGTAATTGGAACTTGTACAGCACAACCAAAATTTCTTAAATGGGATATATTAGGCTGATGTCCAAATGCAAGCTATGTTGGAGAGTATTGATGATTTGCAGTGGGTCTTAGGCGAATTAACGTCGTAGCATGTAAAATAGCATAAGCCTAGGCAAAAGTCAATAATTATGTATGTAATAGCAAAGTTCTTGCAATTAACTGGATACACTTTATAAATGATTTTGCCATACTATTCTAGGTATGTACATGTGGTACTGGGTGTTCAACATCAATTCCCATTGTTGTACAATAGTCATCAAATGTCTTTGAGGTAAACTCACTAGCATTGTATAGACAGATTGCTTCAATTGGGTAATTTGGAAAATGTGCCCGTAATTTAATAATTTGTGCCAACAATCTAGCAAAGGCAACATTACAAGTAGATAGTAGACAAACATGTGACCATCGTGCCAATGTGTCAATCAGTACCATAAAGTAACGGAAAGGCCCACTTGGTGGATGAATAGGTCTACATATGTCCTCTTGAATTCTTTGTAAAAATGATGGGGATTCTACACCAACTTTAGTGATGGATGACTTAAGTGCCAATTTGCCTTGTGAGCAAGCAATACAAGCACTCTCATTAGGTGACAAAATCTTCAGGTTCTTTAATGGGTGCCTATGTGAGTTTTCTATGATCCTACACATCATAGTAGATCCTAGGTGACCCGACGGTCATGCCAAATTTTAAAAAGTTTAGGATCAATGAACTTCTGGTTCATAACTACATAGACTTCAAAATTCTTCAGGAATGTGTAATGATGAGAAAGCAAAGAGTTTCTCAAGTACATGCTTCTGGCATAAAATATGAGCAGTGATGCATAGAAACTCTTCATCATTTTCACTGAAAGTTTCAATGTGGTATCTATTGAGTTGTATATCTTTGAAACTAAGCAAATTTATTCTGGATTTACTAGAATATAAAGCATCATGGATACTTAATTTAATTCCGCATGGTAACACGAGTGTTGCTTTTCCAAAGCCTTCAATTATGTTTGCAAATCCTAATATGGTATTTATTTTAGCCTCAGTAAAGGTCAAACCTGAGAAATATTTTCCATCTCAAAGGATGGTGTACATTGTTGCATTGTCTACTATACAAATGTCTCCACCATTACTGGATATCGATGTTTCAGTTTTGAAGTCCATCCTTAAATTTTTTTTTTTTACATTAGTCAGGATGTTTATAGAACTTCATCTTCATGATATGAAACTTTAGGTCCAATTTTTGTCTCTGTTTTACAAACTTCATGTTTGTAATTAGTATTTAGAACTTCAAGTTTTAAAATGATATTTATTTATGAAATTTCAAGTTCATTTATCAAATATAATATGGAAGCACAATTGCTAACATTGGTTATCGAAAATACAATAAAAACAAATCTAACCACAAAGGTTGTGCTTAACAAGAATAAATAGATCTGACCATGAAGGCGATATTCTACAATAATAAATATATCCAGCCATAGAGGTGGAATTTAACAATAATAAATAGATCCGACCATAGGGTAGAATTTAACAGTAATAAATAAATCCGACCATAGAGGCAGAATTTAATAATAATGAATAAATCTGACCATAAAGGCGGAAACAGAGATTAAGAACACATGTGGGATTGAAAATACACGGAATTTAAAAATAATAAATAAATTTAGCCATAAAGGCGGAAACATGGATTAAATAACATTTGTAGGGTTGAAAATACGTACTTTCAGTAGGCGTGCACCGTTACACTTGTTAAACTCTTCGTGCTGATAATGTGTTATAATTTAGTGGTGCTATTCAATAATAATTCAGGAAAGATAAAGTGAAGAAAGTAAAATAAAAGGGATGAAAGTTAGAAAAATGAGAGTTGTGAGTAGTATGAATTTCTTTCATGCAAATCTTTCCTGAATTATTAAGATGATAAAAAGACCCTTTTGTGCTAAATAATGAAATCATAGTGAGGCACTTAAAGAATTTACAAAATTATTTATGAAAAATCACATTTTAATTTTTCTTTATAATTTGTGCATGTTTGGAATGAATTTTGAGATTGTGTAAATTGATATTAGGGTGTGATTTGTTAATTAGAGTTGGTTTTGTCTCATTTATGCTATTCAGGGGTCAAATTGTCATAAACACTTGGGGTTGATTTTGTCACTTTTTATTTGTGCAGGGACTAAAAAATAATTCCCATCCTCGCTATAAAAAGAAAGCCAAAGGTTGTGGAATGCAGCCAGCCGCCAAACCACAACTCTTCACCGGATTTCGGTCATCGATAGATGAAGTTTCATCTCCAGGTCGGTGACCGTTCAGCTCGTTTCCAAAGACTTTCACGTCGACCGGTCGTCCACGTCATCACCATTTCCACGCAACAACTCTTCGCCTTCCATCGGAGTTTGCACCATTTTCAGCGTCAATTGAGATCCTTTTGTGCCGGCCGTCACCCCCTCAGCTTCCCTTCACATTTATGCCATCGATTTGCCCTTTTTTCTGCAATATCCATCACCTTGATCCAACGACTCTTCGACTTCTCGGCGTGTTTTGCTCCTTTTCCAGAGTTGTCTTGACTTCCCAGCCACATATATAGACTCCCCAGCTCGTGAGCTTTCCATCGGTACCTTCGGATCCTATTTCCGCCACCATTTGCCGGAAGACCCATAAGAAAACTAACGTATTCCGACGAGTTGCGGCTGTTCGCATTTCGAGCTGTCCGTTGGTCGTTTCCACTCCTTCTTCGCATCATCTCATTATCGGTTACATCCTCTTCGCCATGACTAGCCCCATTTCCGACTTTTCAGCCTTCATCGACACCACCATGAGCGGATGTGCTCCCGATTGCCTGTAACGGTGTAGATGAGATTAGGATCGACACTCATGGATCTTCTCGGCAGTTCTCGACTAGTTGGATGAGCCCGAATGTTGAACATTTGGTAGTTTCTTGTATTCAAATTATATTTGTTTTTGTTTCAGTTTGTTTGTGATATTTTAATATTATTCTAATGCTTGACGTGCTAAATTGATAATGTCAATTGAGAACGTTAATACTAGAAGAATCGGTAAAAACCGGTAAACCCGAATCCGGTGTGATAACATGAGGAAAGACCCGAGAATAAATACCTGTCTAATACCTATCCTACTGTTGTGAGTATATATATATATATATACCTGATTCGGAAGAGGTGGAGTGGAGGGGTGAAAGGCCATTCATTTTCAGAAGACTGGCCTTATCTCTCAACTTCTTCTTCTTCTTCGCCGCCTTCTTCATTTCTTTCTTTTATCTTCTAATTCTACTCACTTATTTTACTTCAAAATGTCCTCTATACTCGGAGTATCTTCCACTCTCTTCTTGGAGGTCTCCGCTAAACGAGCTACGACCTCGTCTTTGTTTCGCTCTTTACCGTTGGCCGACAAGTCTCACTTCAATGCTTTGATAGCTTCGAACAATAAGCCTCTAGTTCTTAAGAGCAGTGGCCTCAGCTTTGTTCCTTCGGCCATAGCTACTCCTAACAACGTCCTCAGTGAAGAAGCGTTCAAAGGACTCGGTGACTTCTCTGACAATTCCGACTCTCTTGATGAGGATTATGAGTCTGAGAACGTTAGTACGGACGATGATGAACTCGCCATTTCTAAGCTAGGTTTACCTGACCGTCTCGTTGGTACTCTTGAGAAGCGTGGCATTACTCAGCTTTTCCCCATTCAGGTACTCTACTAGTACACTTGCCTTTCTATTCATCTTCGAATTGTTTAGGTCTGTCTATGTGGAATTTAAATACAGATTTTTGTTTTCATAAATGAGGATACAAGAAATTTTATGAAAATGTAATTTGTTTGAAAGTCTTCAGAAACAATTTAGTGTAAAATCAGAAGGATTAAAAAAAGAGAGTTTTTAAACGGTTCTTGTAGTTTTTAACTTACAATTTTCTAATGGAACCCTAAAAGGTTAGTGTAAAATAAGTACAGTTTTTAACTCTGTAAATAATTTTTGAATTCTATGTCAAACACATTTTCAGATATTGAATACAGTGAGATATAACTCACACTTTTGAATAGCAACTTAGTTTTTGATAATGAGTTTTTCATACTTGTCAGCTTTCTCTTTCTAATTTATCTGTTGTTGTTGTGGTGGTGGGTAATTTAGAGAGCTGTTTTAGTACCGGCGCTACAAGGTAAAGATTTGATTGCTCGTGCAAAGACTGGAACAGGGAAGACATTAGCCTTTGGTATCCCGATACTTAAACGTCTTACTGAAGAAGCTGATAAAGCTCCTTCTTTCAGGTACGGTGCTCTTTTCTTTATTAATATCATATCTTTCATTCATTGCCTCAACTTAGCATTTCTTTCTTTTATCAGGCGGGGTCAACTTCCTAAAGTTTTGGTTCTTGCACCTACTCGCGAGATGGCCAAGCAAGTAGAGAAAGAACTTAGAGAGTCTGCACCTTATTTGAACACTGTTTGTGTTTATGGAGGAGTTCCATACTACCCTCAACAGAATGCTCTTGCCCGTGGGGTGGATGTGGTCGTTGGAACTCCTGGTAGAATCATCGACCTTATTGAAAGTAACGCCCTCAAATTGGGGAAAATTGAGTTTTTGGTTATTGATGAAGCTGATCAGATGCTTGCTGTTGGATTTGAGGAAGATGTAGAAGTTATTTTGGAAAATATTCCACCTAAGCGACAGAGCATGCTTTTCTCTGCAACCATGCCTGCTTGGGTCAAGAAATTGTCTAGAAAGTATTTGGATAATCCTCTCAATATTGATTTGGTACGGGTATTTTCCTTTCTTCCATTTCATAGTATGTATTTCTTTGCATTAACTGCAAAGTCTGTATATCATGTTTGCAAAATCTGGAATTTGTTAAATCCAATTATTTTCTAAGTTAGTTAATGAACTATGTGTTATTTTTATATTCCTTTCCTTTTTGTACAGGTTGGTGACGGAGATGAAAAGCTTGCAGAAGGGATCAAACTTTATGCTATATCAACCACTGCAACCTCAAAGCGAACCATTCTTAGTGATCTTGTAACGGTATAGGTTCCAGACCTCACTTTGTGTTAGTAACTTTTTGAAGATTGTGCTTATGTGCAAAAGGCAACATAGAAAAAAAATAAACAAGTGATTCTTTCATTTTTTGTTAGCTTGCAATATATGAGATGTCAATTTAATAAATTGGTGCTGGAATTAGTTTCGTGTACATTGAAGAGCATATCCAGGATAAATGATATCTAATCTGAGAGACTATGATCCAGTGCAAATTTCAAGATGATTTTGTTGATATGAAAGAAAATTGCTAGATTGACTTCTTTTTGTATAGGGATCTGCAAAGGGTGGGAAGACCATTGTATTTACACGGACGAAACGAGATGCTGATGAAGTCTCAAGGGTTTTGACAAAGAGTATAGCTTCTGAGGCATTGCATGGAGATAAATCTCAGCACCAGAGGGAGAGAACATTAAATGGTTTCCGACAAGGAAAATTCACTGTTCTTGTTGCCACTGATGTTGCAGCTCGTGGGCTTGATATCCCCAATGTTGATTTAGTACGTTCATTAATTTGAACATCTTACTGCATTAATACATACAAGTATAAACAAATTGAGTTATCCTTAAGCGTCTTGAAAATAATTTACCAGCTATCATGTGTAGTTTTTGTGTTTCTTAGCTTCACAACTGTTAGTTCTGTGTTCTGCCATGTAGGTCTTAAGATCTTACAGTGCATGGATTGCTAGTTATTTCCCTTTATTCCTGAGGCTAACATTTAAGTCCACATTATGATTTTCCGTGATTGAGAATATGTGTTTTTCTTCAACCTTTTTTAGGTTATCCACTATGAACTTCCAAATGGTCCAGAAACTTTTGTTCATCGCTCGGGTCGTACTGGGCGTGCAGGGAAGGAAGGTAATGTTATTCTGATGTTTACTAATAGCCAAAGGAAAACAGTTAGATCCCTTGAGCATGATGTCGGGTGCAAGTTTGAGTTTCTTAGTGCCCCAGCTTTTGGAAGGGTTTTAGAATCATCAGCCGAGCAAGTAGTTGCTACTCCTAATGGAGTAGTTCATCCTGAGTCTATAGAGTTTTACATTCCTACTGCCCAAAAGTCGACTGACGAACAAGGAACAGATGCTATTGCTGCTGCACTAGCTCTGTTGAGTGAGAATTCTTCCCGCTCTCTTATAAGCCATGAGCAGGTATAGTACCAGCGCCCCTCTCCATTGTGAACCTTTGCATTTTCCAAATCTCACTTCTGGTCATTCTGAACATAACTTATCATGAATTTTACATGGGTGGTTTCCGTTTTATGAGCTATGCTGTCTGCAATATTTTTCTTGAACTATTCCTTTGTCCTCGGTCCTCTCAGAATCAGAAGTACAGGTTGCATACAGATCTGATGAAATCTTTCAAATCTTCATATATACATTTTCGCCATATATGCCTCAAAACAATTTTGACTGTGCTTGTTAATAGATTTTTTTTCTCTTCCATTTCTCTTTTTCTTCTGCTTGTTACATTTAATTATTAGTTGCAGTAGTCTGCTGGTAACCTGAACTTACAATGATCTGATTGCTATGGCGATAGTTTTATGTACCAAACACTCAGTTTTTGTTTCTTTGTTTGCTTTTTTCTCATTTTCTTTAATCTGTCCTTGTATTCATCCTAGTGACATGTGAATTTATCATATCCTTTGTTAATTGTTTCTGCAGTTGCCTCCCTTGCAGGATGATGGGCCTTCAAGTGATAATTATGGTAGATTCTCTAACAGGGATAGGTTTTCCCTAGGAGGTTCCAGGGACGAGAGAAGTTTTAGAGCATCTCATGGTGGTTGGAGCAGCGATGATGAGGATGGATATAAGGGTGTTGGTCGAAGTTCTAGTACTCAAAATAGGTTTTCGAAAAGCAGTGGAGATGATTGGTTTGAAGATATTCCTATAGATTTCGAACTATATACGGGGTATCAGGAATGAAGATTTTGGATATTTGTAGGGGGGGTATCAGGAATGATATTTGGATATTTGTAGCCGCACGATAATAGGACACTGTGTCTTTATATTCTGCTCAGCGATGAAAATAGATAAAAAAAGACCAAACTGTTTCATTCTCTTGATGTGCAATCAAAACAAAACTGAGCAATTCTAAATTCTATTAAATCCTATGGGGTTGAAAATCGATTAATCGTTGCTTATTGCTTATCACAACTCTTGATTCATGGAATAGCATTGATGCCTCTTGGGATAACTTCAGAACGGAGATCGCAAAGCTAATTTGAGACTAACACCATACTTTTCAAGTTGTATCCAAAAAATTTTATCATTATTATCTTATGCAGTATTACATGTCATTTACATCAGCCATTACTTTGGAATTAGAATCGTGAGATTCTCGAAGAACTTGATGCTCTCTCTTACAATAAGAACCACTTTGATTAATTAGTATACTATACTTGTGCACAACAAGAATGATTGGAGAAAAGTCATGGTGAATACACTTGTGACATTTTTCTTTTCGATTTTTTTGTTTTTAATTTCGACAATGCTTTTTCGGGTAATCTCTTGAAGAATAATGCCATTCATAGCTGGAGTTGAAATAACATTACCCTTCACCATGGAAATAATCAAATAATAGGAAGAGTGAGTTCCTCTAAAAAATTTTTATCCACCGAGTCAAAGGTACAAAACATCATAAAATCATGTCCGATTGCTCTGCTTAGTGTTTCTAAACTGGGGCATAATTAGATATGGTTTTGAAGCCTTCAACTCCACCAGGCATGAAAGATTGAACCAAATTACCAAAGCATAGAAATCATTGTTGCTCTTATTTATCATTCCTTGGAAAAGCTGACTAATAAGAGATGAGAAATTCAAGTTGAGAGGTAGTTTAGCTTAATATGCTGATGGCTGACATGTTATTTTCTTTTCCTTTTTCTGTGTCACAAGGACTCAATCTTCGAGTTTGAGAAGAAGCGTAACAGGCTTAGAGAGATCGAGATACCACAGAAATATTAGAGAAAACACTTTGAAGACCATAAAAAGAGTAATACTATACTTATAAAGAAATTTTACAAAGATCTTCATATAAAGTGATGTGACAAAAAATGAATGGAAGAGTGAATTTAATGAGTTTGACTTTTTATTTTACTCTTCCATTCATTTTTTGCCATCTCACTTTGTATGAAAAACATTTGTAAGTATAATATTATTGTCATAAAAAAGAGTAATAAAATCAGAGTAGCCAAGAAAGAGAGACACCATAAACAAAGGTTTAATATTTTCTTCCAACAGATTTTCAGAAGCACACTCAAGTTTTTGTTTACTCTTCCAAAGACCTGTCTTTCACTCTTCCAAAGATAAAAGTCAAGGAGTCCCAATCACTGACAGGAAAATTATTCTTTCAATTATGAAAGAAGGATTTTAGTTTTGAACCTATTCTCGCTCTATTCTATGTTATACATAACAAAAAAGAAAAAAAAGTATCTATAAATTACATGATCACCACGTCATCCATAAAATGTCAATACTAGAAAAGACACCATCGATATCAAATGCTTGGGTGGATTTTAATCTATCTTCCGATGGCAATGTGTCAATACATCAACATGAGGCCTAGGCCGTCATGTTTGAGTTGTTTCTTACCCAAGCTAGAATGAAAGAAGTTCTAGTTAAACCAAAATGCAACACAAGCCAACCCATTTGTACTAGTGATTAAATGCATAATCTTTTTTTCGTTTTTGATAAATTTTATAGATTTAAAGAAATGAATTTTGGAATCAATTTATAATGATTTTTATCTATTTGTTTTTCAAAAAATTTAATAATAGTGACATATTCAATATCTCACAAGAACTGGAAAACTAAAAAAAGTCACCAGTAGAATAATATAATTTACATAACATTTCATAATAGTTTTCTTACACCCACTGCAGTATGCACCAATATTCCGGTTCTCTCTAATGAATCTCTTGCTATACACAAAATTTGATGACAGTAATAAATTACAGGAACCAATCAATTACAGAAACTTTTTCTAGCAAGTGTAATCAAACAATGGCTGTAAAAGACCTTTATACGCTTTGTCATCTGGTACCTTTAGAAGGTAAGCAACTTCACAGACCCCGACATGATATCTATACATAGATTCTTCATTCGCTTCTGGTTTCATCTCAATTTTGAAGGTTTTGGGCTTCTTACACCCCATTGCATTGCCCATACGGCCATCGGACGCATGTGACATAGTGCTCTTAGACCATCATCCGTAGTCCAAGCTTCTGGAGTTTGGTAACAGTAACTACAGGAAACAACAATATGTCATTAAATCAGGAACAAATAGTTCTGAAGCAGATAATTAGCAGTGTAAATTATGCAGAATGGATAATGTCCTATTGGAATTGGAAGAATATATCCTAATGGCAGTAACCTGAAGAGCAAAAATACTATCTATTAGACATCATTACTACCGGAGTTTTGTCCAACAATTCTCACCACCAAGAATCTACAAATAAATGGTTAATCGGCACATCCACCAATTTATGTCTGCAATAAATTTTAATCAACTGACAAAACCAATGATGCAATGAAATCTATAAACATTTCAAACTGATTTAGATCTAAAAAACAGACTTATAGCAAAGTTAACAGCCTATTAATTGCAAATGGCTAGCACTAGACCTTGTCCTTCAAGGTTTAAAAAGGTAACACCGTTACATAAGAAAAAGGGTATCTTACCCAAGTCCATTTTAGACCATGCTGCTTCATAGATTCCACTGACAGTTTGAAATCCCATATCAACCAAATCTTCATGGATCATCGTTAAAGCAACTGCACGTGTGACGGCACAACATATTTCTCTTGACAGCAATGTTGTCATGTCAACTGCATTCTTCGTACCATAAAGATAGATATTGTCTTTCCGCAGCTGACTGAAGCTTTTGCAGTTTCATATTTCAATGCTGTCACTCCTGACAAGGATACTGCTCTGAAAAGGTGAACCACTCAATAAATTTTTATCATGAAAACTTCAAATTGGCTTTTGGATAGGAAATGAAGGAAGCAGGCTCAAATATTCACGATATTTTTTGTCCTTCATTAGTGACTGCATGACTAAGGACATTGTACATTTATTTGGCCTAACATTTCTCTCATAAGCTCTGCCATCTTATGAAGGAGTTCAACAACTTTTGGTATCTCATTATTCTTGAGGAAACTGAACATAAGAGTATTAAATGTGAATACATTTGGAGCACAACCTTTTTCCTCCATATGTAACAACAACTCGTTTGCCTTTTCTAGTTGTCCATATTTACAAAACACATTGATGAAAATGCTATATGTTACAACGTCTGGCACTAGGTTTTCATGCCGAGAAACTTCTCAAATAAACTTTTATCATTCTCCCAATAACCCACACAACACAAACCATGAATTAAAGAGGTATAAGTGACAGCGTCTGCACTAATTCCCAAACCCTTCATTTCCAAAAACAATTGTCTTGCCTTCTCAATTAATCCATCCTTACAAAGGCCATCAATCATAGTATTATAAATAACAACATTTGGCATACAAATAACACCAGATTCTTCCTTCCCCTTAGTCATTTCTTCATGTAACTTAATGGCAACATTTATCTTCCCTGTTTTACACGACCCATCAATCAAAGTCCCATAAGTAATCACAGTAGGCCTAAAACCAACAGCAACCATTTTCTTAAACAATTCCATCGACCCCCTAAACTTACTCTCTACGCACAGACCTTTAATCAAACAAGTAAAAGTCACAGCATCTGTGCTGAAACCCTTCTTCAAAATCCCTCCAAAAACGGCAAAACCATTAGAAACCCTTTTAATATTACAAAAGCAATTAATCAAAACGGTCAAAGACACTAAATCTGGAGACAACCCAGTTGAATTCAACCGCTTATAAAGCGAAATCAATTCATAATAATGCTTCTTCTTAGCCAGTGCACTAAACAAAGTAGTGAATGATAAAATTGGACAAATGGGTCGCGAATTAATCATGTAATAAAAAAAGTACAATGCTTCATTCAGAGTAAAGTTACCTGATCGACAATTTTCTTTAAGGAATTTAGCAAGTGGAGATCGTTCAAGGGGTTTTTTGAAAGAATGCAAAACTTTATTTTTGGAGCTTGAATTTGTGAGGCTGTGTATGTGAGCTAACAAAAATAAAACGTTAACTTTCAGAGATGGATTTTGAGAGATTGAAGACGAACGAAATGGTGATCTCAAAGCCATGTATGAAGAGGGTTTTTGTGGGTCGTTTTTATTTTACCGAAGTAAGGCCATTGCAAAATGCAAATAAAAAGAGAAATGTTTTGACAAATTTCACAAACAACCTTTAAGGTTTTCAAAATTGTAAACTAATATCAAGTATCGATCTTGCCTTTCCGAACCACCTTCATGATTTCGAAAATTGTTCACTTAGCACCCTGAAGATAAAAAATGTAAATCCACGTTAAGGTGCTTTTTGGTTTGTGGTGGCTTTCTACAAAATCCAAAATTATCCGGTTTATCAAAACAAATGCAACCCAAACAAACCAATTTATATAAGTATTCAATTGGATTTTTTTTATAATAAAATTGTAAGATTTAAATAAATCTTGCTATTAAAGTTTAGATTTTATTTAGTTATATTAAAAAAATATTGTTTATTTTGAAAATATTGTTTAAAAATTTTAGGGATATTGTTTTTTATTTTTAGAATTTAAATGAATAATATTTCGTTATCATATTAACAAGATTTCACACTAATTATATTATTGAAAATATCTATATTATATTATATTTGATATAATAAAAATAATCTGATTTATGAAATAATAAAAATCCATACTATTAAATTATAAGGGTTAAAATAATAGAATGTGAGCAATTTAATAAATATCATTAATTTATAAATATGTGTTCTAGCGGATTAATAATAATAAGGGGAATTTTATTATTTCAAAATCTTAAGAGAATTTCTCTAATTATAATAAACTCAAAGGAGTTAACTTGGTGTCTTTTAACTTTTTATGATACTATTGTAATGTTATACATGAACTTATCCACAATGTGCACTATACACTGATATGTATGAATATGATCAGCATATATTAGGGGTCCGTTTGGTTCATTATTTTGATAGTTTTTAAAATAATATTTTAAAAAAAGTTAAATTGGGTAGGTATTACGATGTAGGATTTAGAAATTAACAAAAATATCTCATATGTTTGTTTATTTACTAAACACCGCTATAATAAAATATTAAAAGTTAACAAAAACACCCTCAACCCACCCATTAAATATGAACAATCAGCCACCACCGCCGGAGGGTGGCTAGAGTGTTTTTGTAATTTCTAAAAAAAATATTTGGAAGTGTTTAGTTAAATTAATAAATTTAGGAGGTTTAAAAGAAATTGAAAAATATAGAATAATATTTTGGGAATAATTACATTTTATTGTTTAACTTTTTTAGGAATACTAATAATAGTATTTCCAAAAGCGAAACAAACGAAGCTTAGGTGATCAGACCATCATCCATAAACCCATCTCATTAATGAATTTTTGTTATGAATGTTGGTAACTTTTCGAATATTGTTTTTATGTGCAGGAGGCAACATAGAAAAATATAAAGAAACAATTTTTTCCTTTTCTTCTAGGATTTCTTTTGGGCTCTATTACCACCAATAACCTTATACTTCTCCTTAAAACATTCTTTTCTATTATTGGAGATGGTTTATAACTGGTTTTATTTTTATTTAAGGTATCCAACTCCAACCTTACAAATCTGACAAATCTGATGAATCAAGATAATTGTATAAATATAATAGTTATTGCTATGACATCTGTAACTGAATAGCAGATTTGGAGGTTCTTGTTTCAACTGTGGGACCGGGCACAGAGCATCAGAATGTCCTAACACGCAAGACTACTAATTTTGTACATCGGAGGTTCCTGTTTCAACAGGTTGCTGTCTGGGAGCAGAGCACTAGAATGCACTGATTAGTAGGACTGGTCTGGTCTATGTCGCTGCTCACAGGTTCTTTCCGATTTCAGAAATGGATGGAGGAGGCTACTGTTACTACTGCTGTTGCCAAGCTTTACTTTATATTAGTTTCATATCAGCCTTAGGCCACGCATTAGGTCTAAATATAGTTACGGGAATCAATATCTTTGTATTGTTTTGAATGTTTCCCCACCACATGTGGTGGTTTCTGTTGTACTTCAATTATTTGTCAAGTCTATTACCCATTTTATTTTGATTGCAACTCTGCCTAAATATCATTTTATCATGAATATTCTAATGCCTTTCCTTTTCGCCTTGTTATAACCCATTAAAGGACGAAAATAAAATTGAAGGGCTAAAAGGAAGACAATATGCCTCAAAAGAAGATTACAAATTTGTAACATGCACATTACAAACAAAAGCTCAAAACCTACTTGCCAAAGAGAATTTCCATAACTCCTCTGAAAGCAGGGCCCCTTTTATTGTTGAGAGCTTCCTTCACAGCCTTCTCATCAGCCACAAACCCCTTGCTCTTCATCTGCTCCAAAAGCTCCTTGGCCTCCTCCACCTTCTGTTCCTTCACAAACGCCTCAAACACGGCAGTGTAAGTTCCGGCATTCGGGCGCATACCCTTAGCCATCAGTTCCATCAAATATTTCTGGGCATCATCCAATCTGGCATCACCAGCCAGACCCTTAATGAGAACACTGTAAGTGTAAGCATTTGGCGCCACCCCACAGGCCAACATCCGCAAGAATACCTTCACACCCTCCTTGCTCTGACCAGCATTCATGTAGGCCTCAACAACGGCCGTGTGAGCCACCACGTCAGGCATATGGCCTTTGTCTTTGATTTGAGAGAAAAGCTCTAAGGCCTGGTGGATGAGTCCGTCTTTGGACAAAGCGTCGAACATCTTGACGGCGTTGTTGACGAGGCCTTCCGTTCTCATTTTATGGAATATTTCTTGGAGGTTTTTGGGGTCTTCGGGCTCTTCGATAGCGGGCTTCTTGTTGAAGGGATCATAAGGAGGTGGAAGGTTGGTTTTTTCGATTGTTTTGGTAGTTCCATAATCATCATCGTCTTGTTCTGAGTCGGAGGATAGAGAAAAGTTAACTTTAGTGTTGATGTTCTTCTTGGCGGTGGGTTGGTCAGAAGAGGAGCTCAAAAATCTTTGGATTAGGGGAAAGGGGAATGAAGTTATAGGGTTTTGGTTAGAGAAAGAGAAAGGGAAGTGGAATCGAGTTTTGGGGGCGAGAATGATGAAGCGAGATAGTACACTCCCTGCCATGGCTCACGCTGTTTTTTTGAGTTGAGACTTGAGAGTTGAGTTGGTAATAGAAGCTTTTACTTCGCGAAAAAGAATTGAGTTGAGTTGACTAAGTATTTAATAAAATAGATTTGAATTTGAAAATGTATTTAGTAAATTATTTAAATATTATACTATGATTAAATAAATTGGTGGATAATTGTTTGATATATTTTTTAAAAAATGATTTTAAGATAGAATATTTTCCTGCATTTTATTATTTGATTTTAAAACTTTTCAATTTATAATTAAATAATATTAAATAGTTGTTTGGTAATTTTTTATCACTAAATTAAAAACAAATTATCTAGAATAATTTAAGTTATTAATATATCATTTAAAAACAAAACGTTAATACATATCTAAATTAATAATACGAAACTACTAATAATCAATTTTTAAAATCCTTTATACACCTATATTCCATTAACAATTACGACATAAATTCACGTTGTACCTACATAATATTAGTTTTATTATTCCTCAGAGTTGCCAAAGCGAGCAGATAAAAGTAATGAGAGAATAGATAAAATAAATTAAAAAATGTTAGTTTTAAACAAAATAAAATAAATTTAAACTTAATTGATTTTGAGATGTAAAAATAAAGGAGTTTAAGTGAGGCTTAAATATCAAATCAGTTATGTTACTTATGTTATGTCAGAGAGAGTGGGTAAAAATAATGAAAGAGGCAACGGTAAAAAAAAAAAAAAGTTAGCAGAATAAGATTTTAAAAATTGTTTTATTTAAATATTAAAACAAAAACTCATTTTTATTGTTTAAACAAATAAGATAGTACAATATGATTGAAAAAGTAAAACAAACGCAATCTTATTTGTTCTACGTCGTCAATTTGATATACTATTATAGTTAGACTTTATCCTATCTTAAGCCCTCCTAGCTAGATGTTTAACTGCGCAAACCACACAAGTGTCATTACAATAACAACATGGGCTGAAACAGTCCATTCCGGTTTCAATTTTTATTGAGTCATAACATTTTGAAATATGAACTGAAATAAAACCTTTCATTTACATCAGTCGCCAACCGTATTCCAATATTGAAAAAAGGATCAGTCAAGGTGTGGCAACATCAAATATCAATGAGTTGAACAGTTGAAGCAGCTAAAATCACAAGATGTGGCCCTGCTGCTCCATCCTCAGTCATCTTCTTATATTTCTTAATCGTCTGCACCAACCTCTGCATGCGTATAATTCTCATACTTAATATACAAAATGAGTATGTCAGCTGTATCTTTATCTTAATCTTACAGTCCATCGATTTATTGGCAGTTTAAATTAAAAGTTTAAACTCAGAGCTAAGGGTCTTAACATGAAAGATGCATAACATAATGCAGGTTCATGGGTATCAAAAAAATGAAGAATAGGAAATACCAAAATCATTATGGGCATAAGAAAATAATAGAGACTGGTCAGGGCTTCTCCCAGATATTCTTGAGATAAATTACTTGAGTATGACTTAATTCGTTTGAAGCCATTCCGTGGATTTCCATGGCTTGTGATGTCTGGCCGTACTACTAGCCTAACAAGAGATTGCTTGGGTGTATTGGAAACTAAACTATGGAAAATAGAGATGCCAATGTCTTATGGAGGATTCATTTGAGGATGGGTTGATTATAGTAAAGCCTGTTTCCTCTCCTTGTTGAATCCATTCTCAAGAGCTGAGATCTTCCTCCCTAGTACAAAAAATGACTATCATAAGTTGGTAGTTTCAGAGAATCCTTGTAAGAAAACCTGCATGTCTTATGGCTAGGAGGAGTTAAAGACTGGTGTGAATTTGCACTAGAGAAAGAAGAGGAAGTGGATACTTATTTAATTGATGCAATCTCTTTTAAAGGTTGCTTTCACATTTTGACTAGAGATTATAACATCCGGGTCATCATCATTCATGGATATTAATAATATGCTTCCTCTGAAATTAAGAATGAAGGTTCAACTACTAAGATGAAGACTCAATTTTACGAACTTAAAATGACTCCTAAGGCATTAACAAAATTGAGTTATTTGTTGGAATTATGTGGTGAGGTTCTACGTGTTTGTTGATTTGTGAGAGATGAAGATTCAACTACCACAAACTTTAAGATTAATAAGTTAGAATTTAGCATAATGCGATGGGTGGAGTTGGATAGTTTGGGGGATAAAGTTTTATTTGAGTAGAAATGGTTCAAGATATTTTTCTTGCAAAGAATTGGGAGATGACACAGCCAAATGCATTTAATTTATTTCACCAATGAAGATCATTATCTAAGGTTTAATGAGTGGGATACTTATGGCCATGGACGCCCTCGCGAAGGTTTTTATATTGATGATTGGAGCATTTTTTTATTGAATGGTAAAGATTCAAGGAATTTTTCGTACCATGCCAAAAAACTTGATTGGCCACCTCTTTGAATTACTGCACCTTTTTTGTGGTGTTTGATTAAAAATAATATGTGAAAAATGGAAAAGATTCAAGGATTGATTAGAGAGTTTGTCATTCAGGTGTACCTGGTGAAAAATGGAAAAGATTCAAGTGAAAAATGGAATTCACATTAAAAGGATCTTAATTCAATTGGGTTTTTACAACTGTACTGATTTTTCTTTAAAGCTTCTCTGTTAGACTGATTTGTTGAGATCAAATCTGTGTAACCTGGTGTGAGTGAGTGATTAGAGAATTAGTCATTCAGGTGAGAGGGGTTTTGCTCTCAAGATCTTAGAGATTCAAGGGAGAGTTCTCTAGGTTGGGTTATGCCAGAGATTTGGTTGTTTGTGAGTGTTAGATCTTTGGATTTTTGTTGTAAACTCTTGATTCTAACTGATTAGTGCAACGAGCTCCTTCAATTCCAGAGCTCAACGTGGACGTAACCTGTCCAATCTTGGATAGGTGAACATTGTAAATCTATGTGTATTGTTGTGGTTTTGTTCTTGTGTGTTTTTATCTTGATTGTGTGTTAAAGATTAGAAAGATTTCATAATATGTCTTCCTCTCTCTTGTAGTGCCTCCTTGGCTAACAATGATCACACAACGAATACATGAAAAATGGGGGCTATTTCCCTCTGCAATCAATCACATTCTCATCAATTAATATCTTCCAAACCAAGGAATAAGGGTTTGTACTGAGCTCGCCTATAATCTTATATATTTCACCCTTTGATGTTAGTTATGATAATATGACATCATCATTTTTTTGGTTATGTTGGATTTTTGAGCTAGGCATGAGTTCCTTATCAACATTATTGTCAGTACAGCCACATCAAGATGGACCCGCATATTTTTCGGTGGTAGCAATATTGTCTCTTGGATCACCTGTTTTGATGGATTTCACTCATTCAAAATTTAGATTAAGCACAAGCGTGTTGAAGAACACTGTTGACGACAACAATTCTAATGGAAAGGTTTTAAAGACAGATCAGTGGAAGGATAATCACCATCCTTTCTCTATCTTATTGATGCCTTGCAGTTTATTGATCTTCATGGATGATGCATACTCAGGCAAGTATATAACTCATGGTTGGATGGGGATTTAGGATAATACCTGCCCAGAAAATTTGACGACACTATTTGGTTTGTAGATTACTTGTATGGTATTAAAGATGACGATGTACAAGAACATGGTGGGGCAAGAATTAAGATTAATACATTGGACGGATGAATTTAAAATATGATATTGATAGAACTCCTCTCCCAAACTCACGTGCTCAAGTAATCCAACAATAGAACAAAACAAAGTTTCAACAGTAAATGTATATATTGATATCAAAATGTGATTACTACACTTTTGGAAATGCAAATACAGACCAATTAAATCTTACAATGCTCAAACAAAATTAGAGACTCAAAACAGACTCAAGAAAATTAAGAACACTGTTGAGCTTCGAGGGCCAGCCTCTTTCCCCTTCCATTTGTCCTCACTTTACTCAATATCACCCGTATCCTGATATTCTTCCCATTTTGTAATTCCTTTAATACTCCCATAAGAGAATGTCATACATTCCCTCTACAATATTTCCATCTATCCTATGCTGATTGTCATCTGTCCTTTACTGATTTGTCACACTAGCTTGTAATCCTCTATTACGCTCCTTTCCTTTCCTATTGTAGACCAGCACCTCATTTGATCTGTCATTACCCTCCCCAAGAAGAGTCACCTTGTCCTCAAGGTGGAAAGAAGGAAATTGGGTATTGATGGTGTGTAAGTCTTCCCAAGTGCGTTCAAATGTCGGTAGTCCCTTCCATTGAATGAGGACTTCCCATTGTCCATTCAGTAGTCTTCTTTTCTGGAGAACCATTTATGGTTCCACATTCAAAACCAAGTTTTCGTTGAGGTTTTCTGGAAGTGGTTGGCTGTTGGGGATGGGAAAAATGACTTTCTTCAATTTGGAAACATGGAAAACATCATTTATGCGAGCTGAGGGATGTAGGTCCAATTGGTAAGCTATTGCCTTGATTTTTATTTTTTTAATTACAAACGGACCATAAAATTATGGGCTAAGCTTTTCATTGTGGTGCCTTGCCAAGGAGCATAACTTGAATGGTTGAAGTTTCAAATATGCTGAGTCTCCCACATTAAAATAAACTTTTCTTCTTTTTTTATCCACATATGTTTTCATGCAATTTTGGGCTTGAACCAGGTTGTTCTTTAATTCTTGGAGGATGTACTTGCGGTTTTGGAGTTGTTAGTTGACTTCATCAACTCTGGAGGAATGTTCTGCATACTTGAGTACCGTCAAAGGATCACAACCATATAGAGCTTTAAAAGGGAACATACCAATCGACACATTAAAGGTGGTATTGAACCAGAATTCTACCCAAGGTACACGTTTTGGCCACAGTTGTGGCTGCCCATTAACAAAACACCTGAGATAGGTTTCCAAACAATGATTTACTATTTCTATTTGCCCATCCATTTGTGGGTAATAGGCAGAACTCATTTAGAGTTGAGTCCCCGACTATGGAAACAACTCACCCAAAAAATGACTCATAAAGATCTTGTCTCGATTGGAGATGATCGACTGTGGGAACCCATGTAGTAGGAC